AAAAGCTGTTGACGGGAGATGTGCATCCCCCCGGGGAAACCCCCCAAGCCCCCCCCCCCCCCCCTCCCCTGCTCCGTCCTCTCGATGACGCGTGGTCAATGGCCTAACGACTAAGGCATGCAAAACATGAGAGTACGCCCCCCCTTGCGCATTGATGAATATTGCCCCATGTACCCCCAACACCACTTACCGACGTTGTTGGTTTTTCCTCCCACTTTTAGGAAGTATCGAACAACACCAACACCTACGATGTTGGTCGGTTCGTTTTGTGCCGATAAATGTGTTGTTTTTTCGCCGTATGTGCGTGTCCCAATTTTTCAGAGATGGCGTGCAAGGCCGTGGAGTACGCCGAGCAGGACCTGACCGGCGTGCTGAACGGGCTGTCCGCGCTCTCCCTCGCCACGGGGCCCCACCGCAGGCGGGACCGCCAGGCGGCGGCGCCTGCGCACGTGCTCGTCGTGGACGGCAACATGAGGGAGGACGCTCTCGTCGACCTTGCTCGCTCGGTGGACGAGGTGTGTTGTGTGTTTATGCGTGTTTGTTTGGGAGAAGGGGTTTGTTGCCTGGTGTCTTGGTTTGGACGTTGGTCGACATGCTGTTGGTATTTCAGTACTTCGTACTGGCTTGTTTTTGATGAGGGAGAAGGAGGGAGAGAGACGAAGGGTGTGGACCAGGTGTGTCGTGTTTGTATTGGGGAAAAAGGGGTTTGTTTGTTGCCCGTTGTCGGGGATGGGTGTTTGGTCGACATGCTGTCGTCTCGGCTTTGTAGGGGTGCGTGGTCAAAGGGCCTAAAGACTGCAGCATGCACGGCTATGCGTACACCACCCTCAAAGCCTCCCTTCGAATGCTATCCCCCCCCCCTCTGCGGTGCAGGTGCTCAGCAAAATGGATCCGGAGGCTCTGATTTCCCTTGTCGTCTTCACCGGGGTCGTTAGCGTGTACCGCCTCGGGCGATCTGGGGCGGCGGTGGCCGATGTGCTCCCCGGTGGGGAGACTTTGTCCGACCAGGTGATCTGCGGCAGCAGCACCAGCAGCACCAGCACCAGCAGTGGAAGCAGTGGCAGCGTTGTTTAATGATTGGCCAGAGACAAGGCGCGCAGTACGACAGAGAGCAATCCTTCAAGTCAGCACAGCAGCAGAGGCAGCATTGGGATTATAGGGGGGAGGGGGGGTTGGTTGCTGTTTCTGTTGTCTGTTGTCTGAAGGTATAGCGCTGCATAGCTCTGTTGTGTGTCGAACCTTGGCTTGGTTCTTGCGGGACATTTTGTCGAGGCGACGTTCGACGACTTCTTGGGCAATATTTCGTTGCTACCTGCATTTGAAGCTTACTTGAACGTTCAGCGTGTTGTACTTTCCTCTTTGAACATGCGGTTGTTTTAGCCATTGTCCAAGTATATCTCTCTATAACATTACCCTCGATGTTGTCTACTATGTTTTGACCGTAGCCCCGATTTGGCAACCACTACCTCAAGACCTCGATTCGATTCCACCCCCTCCCACGCATTTTTGTTCTCCTTAATTTACCCCATATCTTCATAGACGCTCGAAGTTTCTGCCTGCGGCAAGGTCTTTGCCGTTCTAACTAACAACACACCTCCGATCCGGTGTGGGGACACACACGCAGGATGTAATTCCGCTGCGGTCGGTGGGTGTCAGGCGTTTTTTTTTCGACCGGCAGCATGATTTTTTAAACCCTTTTTTTTTTTTTTTTCTTTCGGGTACCCGTTTCCTGCAGGATGTGGACCGGCGGCTGTCCGAGGGAGAGAAGGATCACTTCGTGCCCGTTCGCGGCGGCCGGGAAGCGCTTTGCACGGTCAGTTTTGTGTGTACCTTATTTAGATTGCAGAATATACCACACCCTCTAGGCCGAATGTTCATAGCTCGACTACAATACCCGTGCCCCACGGCGCAGAGGATGCCAAAAATCAACCAAGCGATTCAATTGTGTTCGGTGAACAGCTGTTGATGAGACGGCATCAATGCCGGCAACTTTCGGCGCTAAAGCTTGCTGCAGAGCAATTTAATCAAGCTCTGAAATCGGCCCAGACGGCGTGGTTAATCTCATGAAACCTATTCTGCTGAACCTTGCCTCAGCCTTGTCAGGTTTTGTTTGTTGGTTGGTGACGCGGACATTGGTCTCGGGAGACGACTTCCGCAAGGATGTGGGGGGTGATATCCCGCCGCACTTCATGCTCTCAACCTAATGTAGCGGCCTGCCCAGCTATCTACATAAGTTCTTCACGGAAGCACTGCCGTAAGCGATTTACGAAGAGGCGGGGCCCAGTGACTCAAGAGGGGGTCCAAAACGTTACTCGGGTTCCCTGTCCGCGCCGGGGGGGGGGGGGGGATGCGGGATACGTTCGCCAGGGGCATACAGGGGTTTTTTTGGTTGCTTCTGGTTTTTTTTTGGGGGACACAACAGAGGAAAACTTGTTGTTTTTCCGGGGGGGGGGGGCGGAGGGCATCGGACGGGAGGGATGTTTGTCTGACTCCAGTATGACAGCAGGGAGGTATGTAGATCTGTCCGACCCCAGGAGGGAGGTCTGTCTTGACTCCAATGGGCAGCCGCTGATCCCAATTATCGCCCACTGGGCAGCC